GGTCTAAAGTATCCTTGTAGTTCAGTAGGGCCAACATTCAGAAGAAAATATGGATGTGAACTGTAAGAGTAGAAAGTAAGGACAAACAGTAACTCCTGAGGATGAACCAGAACCTAGAAAGGAAGCCAAGAATCCACTTCTATCCATCACTGCCTACAACATCTCCAATGCTGGTGACTGGCAGAAGGAGCTCTATTTCACCATGGTGCTGATCACACACCTGGCCCAAGATGTGGAGAAATGTTAGAAAGAGTTGTTGTAGGAGATGAAGAAATTGTGGCTTAGCTGTACCCCATGCCAACAAGGTAAGTCCACAGATCACTGACAAAAAGCACACGCTTCAGCAATACCTGGATCTCTACACCTACCTTTTGGAAATAATGGTTGCTGTTCTACTTTTGCCTTCTAATCTCACAAAAATGTATCTTTTCTGTCCAGGCTTAGCCAGAAACCACACAGAGAAAGGAATTCTCAGAAACATAGTTCCACCTTGCCCAAGATGACACAGTACAATGACCTCACAACATTAGATGCATCTGAGATATCTGGGACAATTCAAGTTGAGAATAACATTAGCTCCTCGGAGCAAAAATATACTCATCTGTTTGTCTGTTTACTTATCTACATCATGTGTCTATTTGTCTATCTAATCTTCCTACAGCATATGTTAAAATGCATGTGTCCCTTGAATGATTATGCCTCACTCTCAATCATTTTCATACTCACCCAACTCTCTTTACCAAATCAGAATTGGGCCAGAAAATTTTCCTTGAAAAAGAGGAGCCCTAGCCAAGATCCCCAACCAGCTCACAATAGTGAGGAATGTCATAAATTTTATACTTGGCTAGTGTTTGCTCTATTTGAATCAAGTGAATTGTTTTCCTTTATTGCTCAAGACAGAAGTAAGCAATCAGCCATATTATTTCCTAAAGTGGATATTTGTATTGATCAGGCAACATTCCAGATGCATAGGTTCCTCCAGTCTCAGATTTTTATTTCCATATCTTCTGCAGAATCATTTCTCAAGCTCCATTCTAGAATTATCAATTCTAGAGTTCTCAGTTCTAGAATCCAGTCAGAGAAACATGTCAGAGCACCCAGGGCCCTCTACTGTGCTCCTCTAGCAAGACACAAAATTCTTGGCATTTAAGTTCAAAAACCTTGATCCATAAAGAGGGAAAAATATTTTTAAAGTTATCTGATCTGGAAGAACAGGTTTATCTTTCTGGCTTCAAATTACATACGCACAAAGACCTTCTGTGCCTGGCAGGAGCAAGGATATTAGTTGAGGTCATGCCTTGCACTCCTTAATCTAAGGCTCTCAAAGCTCTGAGTTGTACAAGAATGGATCCTAAGCACTCCTGAGGCACAAGAGAGATAAAGAGGTTGGCTGAGACAGAGTAAGAGTGATCACTGGCCAGTTAGCACAGGGACCTCTTGCTGGGATGAAGGGATGAGCATCAGAAAGATTCAAAGTGGACACTGCCAGGGTCGTGTGGGGATGAGACTGAAATCTCATTCAATCAACAGTACCAGAGAATCTAGTAGAAGGAAGTCATTTCCCACGGGTCACAGTGTGAAGTATCAGCACAAGATGTATCTGGGGTCAGAGGCCAGCCAAGGTACAAGGAAGCAGGAGACAGTCCTTTCTCATGTGACTGCCATGGTGGCAATCTTGTAAGAGCCCACTCATCCCCTACTACAGTTTTGAACCCAACACAAGGAAGAGGGTGATAGAAAAACACCTGGGGGAGTTTTTAAGCCTGTATCAGACTAAATTATAAATTGAAATGGACTAAGAAAAAAACATTGAAGTGTATTGGGTTTGATTAAGAGTGCTATTTTCTATAACACTTTGATTTTATTTTTACTCTAAACCCCATTGTGAATGATACAGAAAACAAATCCCTAAATCGATGACATATTTGCACAACTAAGTCTGTACTATAAAATTTCTACTTATTATACAAGGAAATGCTTAGAGGTGGTTTTAGCTTTTCACTGTCACAAGACTAGTTAGTTAGGTATCATTAATTGAAAAGCCTCAGATGTACATCTGGGTGGGTGCTGGGCAGCCAAGGAGAATGGAAGAAAGCTGGCTCTGTTGATACGAGAAGCCAAAAGCAGAATTTTCCAGAGCAGAGAATGGTACATTCCTGAGTGAGGCACAACTGCAGACATTCTCTGGTTTTTCCAGGAACTTGTGACAGTTACTCTTCTGCCTTATCATTCTCCTCTGGGCCTTTCAGTACACAATAACAGGCTGTTATGTTTAAGAGGCAAGCTGTTTTTTTATTTATGTGTCAGGCACTATGTAGGCATTTTAGATTCATTATCTTATTATATTTTTATAACAAACACATAAAAATTTAGTATCATTTTATATTTAAGAAGAGGAAACTGAGGCTTGGATTGTGTAATTCATCCAAAGTCTGACAGTTATTGGTCCAGATTCATCTCTGCCATTTATTGTAATTCCAGAGCCCAAGTTCTTTCTTTATGTTTTAAGTTTTTTACTTAGAATAGTTTCAGACTTATAGGAAATTTGAAAAATGGTACAGCTTCCCCTAATATTAATATATTATATAAACATAGTGTAATTATGAAAATCATTAAAACTAACATTGATACAACCTGTGCCACATAACCCTTTACAAATAACTGTAAAAATGCTTCTTCCCTTTACTGTTCTTTAATATTCACTTTTCCATGAAGACTTGCAGACTCGAAATGGGCTGATGACAGTGTCTTTTACTCCCACCTTGGTGTGGGTGATAAAAAGGGAGCAGAGACATTGGTGTGAAGGAGAAACAAGATGTTGGCTTTAAACAAGAGAGATTTAATTATCAGACTTCTGTCATGTTACCATACTGCATTCACCACTTTGTATTTCTTTCCATCCTGTTCTGAGATAATCCCTTCACCATGAAAGAGCCCAGCCCTGAGTACAGTTGACAATGGCAATTAAATGCTCTGCTATAACCAAGTTCACACCCTGAGTCTGATAGGCATATGTGTTGTTATGGGTGATTAGATAGAGCAGGAGGATACAGACAGGTGGTATTTTCTCTTCTTTACCCTCAATCATTCAGTGCTGTCTGAAGAAGCTGGAGGATGCTTGGTTTTGATCTGTGGTAGACCCAGCAGGTTTATAGAAAGAAATACCTTATTGTGGGGTTGAGGTTATTTGGCTAGAAAGTTAATTACATTCAGAAGGATTAGTATTAAGTCCAGATTGAAGGATATCCATATATACTCTCTACTTTCCCAGTTTAAATGGACTTTAAGCATTATGCCTAAGAGCTATCCCATGACAAAGGTTCTTGCCATTTCCCTTAGCATTAGTGCCACTGATAGATTTTCCTTTATTTTTTCCAAAGCCCAGGGTCATGGTCAGGAGATAATGCTGTAAAGTAGGCTTCTAGCTCTGGGGTTCCTATAGCATCTTTTCATCAACTCCTAATAAAAATCAGAACGTAGATTGCATTTGGCACTAAAATTATGTTTATGAACATAACCTTTCCTCAATAAGTGGACTTGGGTTTGGCACTGGGCTCCAGGGCCCTTGATAAGGAGACAGGGGAATGAGTAACCTTCACCACAAAACAATAGACAAAAATATATATGATCCAGCCATCTTTAGGTTTAGGCATAAGATTATAAAAAAACTGAAATTTGAATCTAGCTGAACTTTAGAGAAGAGTTTGTGATACCCTAAGTTTTCCTTTTCTAAAATATAATATGAGGCTTGAATTTTACCTCTGGCTTAATCATTGGCTTCTTTAGATTATGCTTTAAGAATACTATGATAATTTATTTTTAACCAAAGGTAAGTCACCTTAGCTTTCTCAGATTTTGTAATGGTTTGTAAACTGAGGAGGTGAGGTGTGCATTTTAAAGTCTAAAACATTTTAGAACTAAAATGGGCATACCATAATTCTGAATAACTACAGTTAGGAGGGATTCCTTCATTACATTTTTCATGTGTTACCACAATTTCTATAGGTTTCTAGACTGTAATAATAATTTCATTATGAAAATGCTATGATCAATAAATATAAAAGGGTGATATCATATCAAAATAAAAAACATGAAGCAAGAATTTACCAAAGATCTGAAATTATTTCAAGGTTTGTATCTACCACTGTGTCTCTCTTTATTTTTATCACCTTTACTCCATTCTTCACTTAACCTCTTTAATGTCAGTAATCCCGCTGTTTTCTTCTTACTGTCAGTTTATTATTTCAGTGCAGCTACTGTGCTTCATGTATGCCATTTCAGGGCCTCCAAAATGAAATCTCTTAAATGTCCTTCTGTCTCCTCCTCCCTGCTTCCAGTTAACTCTATTACTAGGAGCAGGAGCAGCTGTGGAATATTACATTTTTATCTTTCTATTTAAATGAGTAAATGATCTGGCTTGAGGACTTTAACTCCTATGGGCAGGAAGGTCCCATTAGATTAAGATTTCTAATATTTATATTGCCTTCATCTTCAACAAAAGGCCTCTTCTGGGGAAAGCCAAAAAGATTGGACAAGCTTGCCAACACAGTTGAATTTTTCTAGGCCTTTCCTAACAGAATTTGTAAATGGCCTTCAAGAACATGTTAGAGTATAATTTTACCTTCCAGAAATTGTTGAAAACACTCTCCAAAGAGAAACTAGAAATACCTCAAAAAAAGTCAAAAATAGAAATGATCCTATTTCTGTGGTCTGCATGCTTGTATCTATCATGCTCAACTTGATGAAGTCAAATAGGAAAAGGGATGTTGTAGTACAAAAACTTATGCTCTGATTTCTCTCTGTGACGATATTTCAGACATTCTCCTCTCCACTTTCAGAAAAGTCATGGTCAAATAGAATATATTTTGCGTTGCTCACAGGCCCTTATCTCTAAAGCTCAGGCAAGACCCAGTTTCCTGGGTCTTTTTGCATTGGTTTCCCCAGTCATAGCCTTTTCCTGCCATAACTAAATCTCCATATGCCCCATGGATGTAGAATAATCACTTGAGTTGAGCCTCTGCTTTAAGAATGTGAAGAAGTCTCTCTCTAATCTGTCTGGTACGGACAGCATAGACAACTGGGTTGAGGATGGGTGGGATGAGGAGGTAAAAGTTGGCTAAAAGGATATGGATATGGGGAGGCACATGATGGCCAAAGCGGTGAGTGAGCGAGGAAACAGCAATGGGGATGTAGAAGACAAGGATGGCACAAATGTGACAACTGCATGTCCCTAGGGTTTTAAGCCTAGCTTCAGGGGTGGCCAGTCCCATAACCACCCTGAAAATCATCACATAGGAAGCAGTGATGGCTAATGAATCCAGGATCAATACTAGGAAGCCAATTCCCATTCCATATAAATTATTGACTGTTGTGTCACCGCATGCCAAGGTGACCACAGCCATGTGCTCACAGTAGGAGTGGGCAATGATTTGGGTCCGATAAAGGGACAGCCTCAGACGAATTATCAGGGGCAGGGGTCCAATGTAGAGTATACCCCGAAGGAGGGCAGCCAGCCCCAGACGACCCACCACTGTGTGGGTGAGCACTGAGGTATGGCGTAGTGGGTCACAGATGGCCACATAGCGGTCAAAAGCCATGGCCAGGAAGATGCCGGACTCAATGGTGGCAAAGCAGTGGATGAAAAACATCTGGGTCAAGCAGGCATCTAGGTCAATGTTGTGGGCATCAAACCAGAAGATAGCTAGCAGTTTGGGCATGGTAGAAGTGGACAGGACCAAGTCAATGACAGCCAACATGCACAGGAAGAAGTACATGGGCTGATGCAGGCTGCGCTCCACCTTTACCACAGCCAGGATGGTGATGTTCCCCACCACAGCCACCAGGTACATGGAGCCGAAGGGGATGGAGAGCCAGACGTGCTGAGACTCCAGTCCTGGGATGCCAGTGAGCCGGAAAGAAGTAGGCACCAAGCAGGCATTATTAGACAGGAACATATTTGAGGGTGGGAAGTATCTGAGAGACAGGAGCTCTTATTTTTAGATTTTTATTTGTATGAGAGGGATTGCCACTGGAAACTGTCGACTACTAGTTCTTGTTTCCATCCTGGGAAACTGGTGAGACCTATAATAAAGAAGAATTATAAATATTTTCTTGAAAATTGACATTTTACAAATCTTATAAAAGAGACTAAGCATGAAAACACCCACTGGTAAATGTAGAAACAGGCATGCTCATAATTTCTATCGTTAAATTTTCCTACTCCACTGTAGAAGTTCCAAAAATTGTGCATTCTCTTTTACCCAGTAATTTTGCTTTGGGAAACATTTTCTAAAAGAAATGAAAAAATACAGAAGAGGTCTATGAGCAGTGATTAAATATAAGTCCATGTAATATGTTTAGCTCAGTGCCTGCATATACTCCTCTTATCATTGTATGTATAGTGAATATGTATAGTAACATTATAACATCAATAAAAATGATTAGTTATTTGTAATTATTGATTTTTATAATAATGAAAAGTTGGAAGAAATATATGTTCAAAAAATAAAGCATTGTTTAAATTCTAGTACATCCATTCAATGAATTAGAATTATGTTTAGACTATTTTTAGAGCTATATATTTACACAGTAAAATGTTTACATATTTCAGTAAGTGAGAGAATAGCAGGAGGCAGAGTATAAGTTCATTAAAATATATGTGTGTCATATAGGAACACATTTTAATGTAAAACACACACCCTTATTTCACTTTTTCCCTTTTGTATGAATATTCTGTGTTTTAAAAATGGCCAAGAGCTTTAGAAATAATCATATAGGTTATTAAAATCCAATCAAAAACATTTTCCTTAGTAAATTGCCCCCTTATATTAGTCAAGTACAATTCCCTTTTCTTTAAAGATTTAACACTGGTTTGGTCATATTGTCAAATCTAATTGATTTTTCAAAGATATTTGGCATCAGACCTAATTTCTCAAAGGAAAAGCTCTCTTAATTTAAGATTGCCCAGATTTCATGGTTAAAGATGATGAACAGTTCCTTAAGAAAGTTTTACTGTAAGGACAGATCCTATTAAACTTTCTGAGAATCTGGACATTATACATAATTTGAGTAGATAATAGAAGAGGTGCATCTTTTTATGAGCAAATTTCACTGGGTGTGTTGCCCCATTATCTGATGAAAGAGAATGGACTGACAGAGATTGAGAAGGTTGTGATCAGTGAAAGGGTCCTGTTGACTGTTTTCTATTCCTTGAAGAGACAAAGAGGTCAGCATGAAAGCACTGGCCAACACTTAGCCAACTACTTGCTCTTCTGTCCTTCAGGTGTCTCTCGCTAAGGATCCAGCAATGGCTCCTATTGCTTCACATCCTCAGGGTTCAGAATCTGAGGGTCTAATTTGCTTCCCACCCTGTCTTGGGCTTGACATCCTCATATTTTCCATCAGCTTCTCAGCAGAGTCAAGTCTCAGATTCCCCATGATTACAATCACCATGGTGCTTCTCTTCAAAGAGCCATGTTTTTTTTTTTCGAGTGGTTTCACCACCTTCTTGACTTTTATCCAGGCAAATTTCCCCCATTCTCCAAGTTCCATCCCAGATCCCTTTTCCTCTACAAAGGCTTTTTTTGGTATCTATAGCTTACACCAAAGCAAGTGGCTAGTAGTCGCTGAATTGTTCCCAATCGACTCAAATAAACCCATGCACATTTCAAACATTCTTGTCTAAAATATAAATAGCAACTACATTTTCATAACAAATGAGCATAAGAAATGCCTCTATGTAATCTCATGGATTCCTAATTCATGCTCCAACACAATTTTAAGTTTTTACTCATTTTCTTACTTTTGGGCCAGGCTTTGACTGGGTGTTGAAGAGGAAAAAGTTTGTGAACTTTAAAATGGTTCACAGGTGTTCCTTTACATTAACTCCGACTTTACAATTCTGTGAATTGGGTACTTTTATATGCCAGTAAGTGATAACATGCGTGAGTTCCCTTCTTTGGCAATCAATGGAGTTTTTGTGGATCTACAGGATAAGATGGGAAATGGAAAGAGGTCCAGGGAGGCAACACCACAGTACCAGCTCAGGGCACCAGCTTTGCCATCTACCAAACATGTTTTCCCACTCCAGATCTTACTCAGTGTTTGGTCAAGTTGCCTAGCCTCTTAAAGTCTCAGTCCCTTTATTATGAAAAAGAGGGGAGAGTATCAAGTAGCAAAGGATAAGTATAAAGTACAAAAAGTAAGTGTGAGACTTTTGGCACATAGCAATATCTTCCTTTCCTTGGATTCTACTGTTCACTGTGAGGAGTAGACTAGAAATTTATATTCTGCAAATTGGAATAATTTCCTGTTCTTCCCTGTTACATGAGACATCTTTAAGGATGTCTTCAAAGTCCAAGAATTGTAGAGGTGGGACAAAGATGTGAAGAGAACACTAGTTAGTATATAATTTTATCTCATAACAGGAAGAATGTCTGAAGTGTTTTCTGAAACTATTGTGATGAACCACCATCCTAAAGCAGAAAGAGGCCTAAGTACTCAGTGTCAGGGTAGGTCAAAGTAGTGGCTACTCATCATAAAAGAATCATTGTCCATATGCTTGAGTGAAACCCAGACTTAAAACTTCTATTTGTGCCAGACTCAGTTTAACCAATAAAAATGTTTTAAGCAGGGACAAAAAGAATGTGAATGTATGTATAAAAATAAAATCCACTAAGGTGATAATTGGCTTCTTGAGTGATGGCTTGAACTAGGTTGTGGCCCCTGAGTTGTGTTACTTTACTTAGAATATTTCAGAGAAACCTTTTCCGTGTCAGCTCACATAAGGGTATTCTTACCTGGGCACTAGTGACATGCCTTCAAGTTCTGGAAGAACTTTGTGATGGTGGGTCTGAGGCTCCTGAGAGATGTTTTGTTATGGTGAAATAAACATGAATTAAAAACAATACCCACTAGGTTTCAAATACAAACTTCACTGTTTCTGGCTGTGTGACTTAGAGAGTGCACTCTCTCTGCCTTGGTTTTCTAGTCTATTTCCCAGTCTGTGAAATGAAGGGAGTGATAGCTACATTGGAGATGCCTCATGTATTAAATGAACTGTTCGCATAAGTGTGTGTGTGTTTCTGCACACAGATGGTCAAATGTTAGGATGCCTGGCCTCTGAAACAGGCATTGTATTCCCTTCCTTACTGACCCCTCCTCTTGGTTCTTCACCCTCTTCCACGGAACACAGACACCGTGCTATTTCCATATGACCTAGTGACTCCACATCCTTCGTCCCAGGTGTATGAATAAACAGACCTTTACACATTGATATAATAAATTGAAGAGACCTGCTGATTGTGTAAGGATCCGCTCAGGAGAGCTTACCTGACTGGAGCAGAAGAAACGAGCCTAATCAGGTGGGAAAGTCCATACTTTCTTCTTGTTTGTGGAGAGCATTAATCAACCAAGTGCTGGGGGAGCCTTGGGGTCTCTCCTCTTTCTTGATTCATAATCCAGGCCAAATGATCATCAACTTATTTCTTCAATTTTTGACTAGAACTGTGAAGAAGGTAAGCCTAGGATGAACCAAAGACAAATGTAGTTTCTGAAAATTGGAGTGTTTTCAATGACTTTAGTCCCATCTTTGGAATGTACTTACCCATTGGGGTGCTGTCCACAGAGCTTTAGGCTTTGTTTCTCACAGGGGTCACCTTTTGTTAGGATGCTTGGATGAATTTAGTCCACAGCCAAACGGGGAAGCTATGGCCCTGATCTCTTCACTATTTCCTCCTTTGCTCTCACCTCTTTATCCAGGCACTGAAAATAGCCAGTTATTTCCCAAGGGTTGTACAGAGAAACCTGCATTCTTCCCTCTGGATCTTCAGTTACCCCCCTCCCCCCGCCTTGGGGGCAGTCTTCACTTCTTGTTCCATTTCACCTCCTAGGACTAGATTATAAACTTTTATTTCTGTTCTCTTGCTGGGGCTCTTGGCTGGCCTCAGGTCTCTGTTCTCTCCCTAGTCCTGAAGTTTTCAAAGACTTCAAGAGGGACATGGGGAAAGTTCACAGGAGACGCGCAGGGGAAAGAACATCAGACACTGGTATAACCAATATGAAAACTTATATGTTTTGCTAATTAGTGCGTATACTATTTAAAAGAGGGTTAATATAAAACATGGGCTATACAAATAAAGGAGAAAATTACTTAAGTACAAACTTTATCAATATTGTAACTTTTCATTCTGCATCTAGTTTTTTCAACTTGTATTTACTTAAAAATAATTATAATCACAAGTTACAATAGTGTGTGTGTCCATGTCTGGGGTTACTTTAACCTATACCTCCCAGAGCAGTGGCAAGTTTCATTTCAGTCTTCGCATTATAGAATGTGGCACAGACATATTTGTCAAGAGCCTTTTTTCTGCTCAACCTTAGGATAGAATTCCAGGGAAAATTATTGACTATTGTGCAGGCCTCATTAATTCTATTGTCAAATTGCTTTCCAAAATTGTTGTCCAGCTGTGTTTAACCCAACATTAAATGAGTTCATTTGCTTAATTGCCCTGTAGTAATTTTAAAAATATCCACTATGTAGATGAGCAAAACAAAATATTGTTTTCATTTCTCTGACTTCTACAGAGTATGAACATGCCATGTTTAAACAATTCATGCCCAATGCATTTATTTTGAACAATTTATTTTTCCATTTTTTCTACCATATACTTAATATTCTTAAATTAGAGAAAACAATTTCAGAAAATATGGCAAAGATTTAATGTTTTCTATAGAAAAGTTCTGACATATATAAAAGGAGGTACTTTTATAATCACTGTTAGTAGTTAGCAATACTCCATCTTGATTTATGCGAACCATTAATGACATTACCTAATTATTCACACATTGTTTTCTCTCTTCTGTATACTTATTGCCAGGCCTTGAAATCTTATTTTAGCCTCCTCATTTGCCTTATTGGCCCTTGTCTGTCTTTCTTACTGTTCTCTTTTCCACTACTCAGTTGTCATTTTGAGAG